GGCTCCAGGCTCCGAGCTGTCGGCCCAGAGCCCGACGCGGGGCTCGAACCCACGAGCCAGGAGATCACGAGCTGAGCCGAAGTCGGACGCTTCACCGCCTGAGCCCCCCAGGCTCCCACACCTCATTTCACTAGCTGTAAGCCCTGGTGTTTGTGTTCCCACCAGGAAAGTACGCTGCCACCTTGGGACGGCCATTTGGGCTATTTCTTGGTGTCTGTGTGTTTGCTTTTCACATTAAAAACTTTTTTACCTTTAAAAAGCAGCAAGGGGGGCGCCTGGGTGGCTTGGTCGGTGAAGCGTCCGACTTCAGCTCAGGTCATGATCTCACAGTGTGTGAGTTCCAGCCCCGCATTGGGCTCTGTGCTGACAGCTCAGAGCCTGGAGCCCGCTTCGGATTCTGTGTCTCCCTCTCTCTCTGCCCCTCCCCTGTTCATGCTCTCTGTCTCAAAAATAAATAAATGTTAAAAAAAAAAAATTAAAAAAAAAAAAAGCAGCAAGGAACATCCTGCACACGCGACTTCGCAACCCCACGGGGGCTTCCGAGAGAAGGTCGTGAAAGGAAACCGACATAAAAACAGATGCTGTGATCTGGGGGCACCCTAGGCTCCCGACGGTGGTGGCCAAGGTTCGCATCCTTCTTCTGTCCCTCCCCCTTTGCGTCCAGCAGCTGGGCGGGCGGCCCCCACAGAGGCAATGGGGGCTAAGCTCCTTGCAGGTCTCGGGTGTGGGTGAGGCGCCCCAGACGACCGGAGGGTGGGGAAGCAGGAGCAGGGGACACGAGGTGGGTGTCACGGGAGACCTTCTCCGGCTACGTTGCCTTTGGGCTGTGGGCTCTTCGCGGCCCCTCCCCACCCCCGCGCGGTCCTCCCCGCGGCCCCAGAGCCAAGTGCGTGGCTCCTTCCGGGCGCCCGGACCACGCAGAGCTCTGCTCCGGCTCCCTTGCCCCCCCCCCCCGCCCCGCCCCCCGCAGAAACTAGGACGAGACGTGTCACCTGCGCACCGCCGTGGCCGTCTGGCCGTGGAAAGGGGAAGTTCCACGAGCCCCCGCCTCCCCAGCCCCAGTCCCGGCAGGTGCACCCGTGGCTCATTAATCATGGCCACAGCCGCGGTGTCTGGGCCTCTCCAAGCAGGAGTGACGTGGAAAAGCCACCGAGGGTGCGCGCGAGTTCTGTCGCGCTCCATTTCCGCACATCTAATGGCTGCGGGTTGGGACCCCCTTCCCCAGCCGCTCCCTACACCCGAGCTCCCCGGACAGACGTGCTTCCTCGTCCCGAGCTGTTTCTAAGGAGAAGGGAGAAGGAGGGGCCCGGAGCGGTCCCGTGGTCTCCGGCTCAGCACGTCCCAGCCTGGTGCCCGGACCAGGATCAGAAAGCAGCCCAACATTCACACCGCGGACATCCACCTTCAGAGGGAAAAGGCGATGCTGAAGTCACGGCCCCGGGGACACCCCGCACCATCCTGTCTTCTCCTTGCCCTGTGACACTTGGCTGAGCCCCACGGGCGGGTGCTGGACGCAGGGTCCCTGGATCCACCAGAGTCGCAGTGGAAGCCACCTTCGTGTTGTCCACAGCATCCCGGCGACACCGGACAAGCAAAGGCACTGTGGCCGGATCAGCCTGTGCCCAAAACGCAGCCCTGTAATGAAGGTGAGACACTCAAAGTCCCTGGATTTTAGTTCTTCTGCACAGCTTATTTTTCTTTTCTTCAGTGTTTGTTGTTGTTGTTGTTGTTGTTGTTGTTGTTTTATTTTTGAGACAGAGAGAGTGTGGGTGGGAGAGGGGGCAGAGAGAGAGAGAGGGGGAGACACAGACTCCGAACAGGCCTGAGCTATCAGCACTGAGCTGGATGCGGAGCTCGAACGGAAGAATGGCGAGGTCATGACCTAGGCCAAAGTCAGACACTCAAACAACTGAGCCACCCAGGCGCCCCTCCGCAGTGTTTTTATTAAGAATAAATAAGTTTTGGGCACCCAGGGGGTTCAGTCAGTTGGGCGTCCGACTTCAGCCGGTCATGATCTCACGGTTTGTGGGTTCGAGCCCCGTGTCAGGCTTCCTACTGACAGCTCGGAGCCTGGAGCCCGCTTCGGATTCTGTGTCTCCCTCTCTCTCTGCCCCTCCCCTGCTTGCGTGCTCTCACTCTCTCTCTCTCTCAAAAAGAAATGAAAACATTAAAAGATGCATATATTGGTTGAGTGAATAAGTGAACGTGTTTGTTTTGAAGCATTTTGTCTTCTGGGAAAGTTGCAGGAACATTTAAGACGTTACGGTCCGTCAGTTATACACCCAGGTTTCTATAATGTTTTTATCACAAGTCCTCAAAGTACCCGATTTCAAGTTTTCCAGGCAGGCGGAGGATGAGGTTAAAAAGAATAAAGAGTCGCCTCCAGATTGCATGGGGGAACTTTCAGTGTCTAGAATATTCCTGGGCTCCAGCCTTCTTCAAAGGCAAATACACTTCACCTCTGAGCCGAGCCTTCAGACTCTGCATTGATTCTACCTTCCCCTGGAAAGGTTCGCTTTTCCTGTAGCGTCCGTGTGAACTCTCGGGTAGGAGCTGGCTTTCGGCAGCTTTCTCTCCCTCCCGTTCGTGGGGCTGGACGAGCCCAGCCGTGTGAGGCCAACAGCGGTGGCAGGTACACGGCTCATACATCCATTCCCTCTCAGGTGCCGGGACTGGTGTCTTTCCTCCATTTCAAATAGAACTTATCTTTTAAAAGCACACTAGAACGTATTTATAATGTATTTTGTGCTGATGGTGCAATTTCATGGACGTATCCGTGAACTCAGTGTGTGTGAGATATTCATCTTATATAACCAGAAATTCCCAGTGAGCAAGTCAGGACACTGGGCCCCCCTCCTGCACAAACACAGCTGTTGTTTTGAGAAAATAATATGATTAACAGAGAATTTTCAGGAAGAATGCTGTGTCCGTAAAAATGAATTTTGCCCGGGTGGCTCGGTCGGTTTGGTGTCCAACTTTGGCTCAGGTCACGATCTCGCGGTTTGTGGGTTCGAGCCCCGCGTCGGGCTCTGTGCTGACAGCTCGGAGCCTGGAGCCTGCTTCGGATTCTGTGTCTCCCTCTCTCTCTGCCCCTCTCCTGCTTGTGCTCTATCTCTCTCCCTCTCTCTGCAACCCCCCACTCATGTGCTCTCTCAAAAGTATTTTTAAAACATTTTTTAATTAATTTTAAATTGGCCTCCTATGAGATGCACACACACACACACACACACACACACCCCTTTACTTGCAAAAGTCAAAACAGAAAGGACTGTTGCTAGAACTTCTTCCTTTCTTCTCAGATCCTGAATTCCAAATACTTCTATTCAAGAGACAGACGCTTTGAGGATAGCAAGTTTGCTTTTATTCCTGAGTTTGAGGTGACGCCAGAAAACTGAAAGGAAGCGTCCCCAGACGAGCGGTCAGGACCTTACCTTCATTCTCAGGATCTCCCACGCGGAGCCAGAGGCTGATTCGGACGGGGTCCCCGAGGAAGAGCCCACAGGGGACCTAGGGGGAACCTGAAGGCAAGTCCGCACACAGGTTGGTAGGAGGAAAGACATTCAGCAAAAGAAACTAAGAAAAGAAACCAATCGCACGAAAGAAGCGAAGGCTCCAGGATTTCGCGAGAGGGAGAGACTGACACAGCCACACTCAAGAGGCGGGAATGGGTGGCGGCAATGGTCGCCAGATCCGCCCCCGTAGACGTGCCGAGGACAGAAGCGGACTGTGATGAGTTCAGCACCTAAGAGGTAAAGGAAAAGAAAAGCGAGGTTTCAAACACCGACCACCCCGCAGACACAGCACACGGAAGAGGGAAGGCCAAGAGCCAGGTGGGGACAACGGGGTCAGAGCAGAGGGGACCTCCTGGAGTGGCTTCTGGAATCAAGAGGGCAGAGCTGGGGGGAGCGAGAGTCTGGAGACTCTAGGAAGAAAGAGACTAATGGAAGCACCTGCCCAGGGGGGTGACAAAGGAGGCAGCCAGCTGCACCGGGAAGGACGGGGTGCGGAGACGAGGGCCGCGGGACGGCAGCGCCGCTGTGATGGGGCACGGAGCAAACGGGAGCTCCTGGCAGTTTTCTCAGCACGACAGGGGACAAAAAACTGGGAAGCCGTGGGCGAGGTGGTCTAGGAGGCTGGGCAGAACGGAGTGAATGCTGGGGCTGGGGGGCGCCGGGGTAAAGAGGTGACCCCAGTTGGGCAAATGCCAGCGGGAGCCCTGGTGGTGGGAGGGGACCCCGTGCCGCTGTGACTCTGCTGGGCGTCCTCTGCAGCCAAGAGCACAGGGCCAGAGATGCCCCAGGACAGCATCGAGGTGGTGAGGGACCTGGGACCGTAGGGAGTGGCACCCACCGGGGCCTCATTGACCGCTGGATTCTTGGGACAGTGGGCGGGGGGAGAAGGTTGCTTCCGTTTGCAAGATGCTCGCAGCTGCTGGACATTCCAGAAAACTCGGTTGGGTGGCGGCCTCTGTACACTCCCTTCCTCCCGCGGCTTGGCGCTCTCGACCGTCTCTGGGATGGTTTCCCGGCCTCCTTCCCGCCTCCTCCAGGCGCAGACGCCAGCCCGCGGCCCAGCTCTCACCCTACTGCAGGGCTGTTTCCACCCTGGCGCTCCTTCCCTCTCCCGCCCTCAGCCGTCCCCTCCACGGAGGCCTGAACTTGGTCTTCCCCTGAATCCCCGGGTCTGGAACGTTGGATCCCCAAACACAGCGGCGTCATCGAATGAATCGTGCTGCGTTTATTGCTTGGAGGTTCAGGAAGTACCTTCATCTGCCGCAGAAAGATAAAGATCAGAGGGTCTGAGTGCACCCCTTCCTTGTGCGGACGAAGAAGCCGAAGCCCAGAGAGGCCGCCTTTGTTTCTTCTTTCTCACGGCCTCCCAGCGCCGGGTGTCACGTTCCGTGTCTCTGCTGCTTCTAACCAGGGACTGTTCCCTTCGGCACGTGGCGGAGCGCGGTGGGAATCTGAACAGGCTTGGGCAGGACCACCGGCGCTGGGGGGGGGGGGGGGGGGGGGGTAGACAGTGCCAGAACCATGAGCCAGAAAGGCCGCTTGAAGCGCAAAACCGCCCCAGAGGCAGATGGAAGAAGTACCAGCTAGACGCGGCGCGTGCACACGAGGGACCCAATGGGAAGGTGGCAGACGCCCTGGGATGTCAGAGTCCCAGAGGGATAAGCCGCTTGTCTGTGCGTGTGACGGTTAAATAAATGGTCGGGAATGGTTGCTGCGTGTCTGCCGTTCTGTACAGTAGTTTGTGTCGGTTTAACGTGTCACTCGCTGCTCCGTTTACGGGTATTTCACGTAATCCAGAGATTTCTCCAAGCAAGGGGTGCGGTTGGATTCATCAAGACTTTTTGTCTACAGCCCTAACTCCACGATCCCTCAAAACATAAACGTAACCACACGCTGTGTCTTTACGTTTCATTCTCCTAGTTTAAAAATTTTTTTAACGTTTATTTATTTTTGAGAGAGTGAGAGCGTGCACGCGTGCGTGCACGCGTGCGTGCACGTGAGCGGGGGAGGGGCAGAGAGGGAGACACAGAATCCGAAGCAGGCTCCAGGCTCTGAGCCATCAGCACAGAGCCCGACGCAGGGCTCGAACCCACGAACTGTGAGATCGCTTAACCGACTGAGCCATCCAGGCGCCCTGGTCTTAATTTTTTTTTTTTTTTAAGTCTCTTGAACGTGAACTATCTCGTGCCCTACTTATTAAACCGACTAAAATAAATATTTAAAGTTACGTTTCTAAGTCTTAGCCTAGCCGTGTGACTTTATTTGCTGCTTTTTTTTTTTTAGCTGGATCACGTTCTAATGGTTCCAAGTTAGTAACTGCACTGTACATGTTGTGGGTGGCTAGACGAAGAAGATAGAATTTGCATTTTGGATTCACTGTCTCAGTCGGCTCAGGGTGCTATTCCAAGAATGCCATAGGCCGGGGGGGCTTAGACTGGGGGCGCTTAACCAACAGACATTCCTCTCCCACAGCTCTGGAGGCTGGGGGTCCAGGGTCCATGGGCCTGTGGGTGTGGTGTCTGGCGAGAGCCCTGCCCCTCGTTCACAGACGCTGACTTGGGTCTGTCCTCGCGTGGGGGAGAGCAGGAAGACCACCTCTGCGGGGTCTCTTCCTACAGGGGCACGAATCCCATCCGGGGGCCCCAGCCTCGTGACCTCATCACCCTCCAAAGGCCACCACACTGGGAATTTAGGCTGCGGCATGTGAATTCTGGGGGGAACACAAACATTCACTGCATGCCGTTCACTTCGGCCGAGAGATAAATTTCAAGAAATAAATCCTGTCCCTTAATCCACCTATGAGGACACAAGACGCAATCAAAGACTCGGCGTGATGCCTGAAAGAAGCAGGGAGGTGGCCTGTCCCGCTCCCAGCGTGCCACCGCCCGGCTGTGATGGAGTGTCACCGAGGTTTATGCGACCGGCCCCACCCCCTCTAGCCGGAAGTAGTAAATCACCCAAAAGTCCCACGGAAGAAGATAAGGCACCCAGCACGGGTGGGTAGAGAACCTTCCGTCCCTTTAATTGGGGAAATGGGACGCTTTGAATCGGGAAACCCTTAGGGAGGGACCTGCTCAGAGGTTTCTCTTCCTCAGATGACGAGGGGATACGGATCCGGGGGCGGGGGGGGGGCCCTGCTAAGACCCCAGTTCGTCAGCCGCTTGGACGTGCTAACACGGCTGTGGTCAGGATGCAACTCCTCTGGCTGGAATGTGGTGGTGGCTGAAGTCATGTAACTGCTTACTCGGCACCACTCCCCCCATTTATACGGGAAAGAAATGACGCCCGGACGCTGAGGTCACGGTGAGGTCACGGTGAGGTCACGGTGAGGTCACGGCAAAGCTAGCAAGTTCAGCCTGGCCCTGTTTTAGGTCTTCCACACGACGTGGGAAAAACCGCGCAGCTGCGCTCGGCCTCAGTTTCCCCACCTGAGAAGCGAATTCCTTTCCTCTGCATTTCCTTTTTTTTAAAGGCTTCCGATGCACAGCACGCGTGACCCACGGAAAACACTATGTTTTCCAATCAGATGATGAGGTCCTTAGTACAACGTGAATGTGGAGATATCTGGAGATACCGCGGTCTCCAGCTAAGAACACTTAATGGTAAATAACTTCCGCAATAAAAAGACGCAGACAACAAAGAGGAGGAAGAAGAAAAGTGGGATTTGTCTGAAGTAAAAACGTTAAAATAAAAGCTCAACCTTGATACTTGAGTATAGGAAAGTAAGTGAGAGGTACCTCGCAGGAATACTCGTCCCTGCTCTTAGAAACCAGTAGTAACTGGGGGTCCCCGGGGGGATTAGTCGGTTGAGCGTCCAACTTCAGCTCAGGTCATGGGCTCCCACTTCGTGGGTTCGAGCCCCGCATTCGGCTCTGTGCTAACCACTGAGAGCCTGCTTCGGATTCCGTGTCTCCCCCTCTCTCTGACCTTCAGCAACTAGTGCTCTCTCTCTCTTTCAAAAATAAATAAATAAATAAATAAATAAATGTTAAAAAGATGTTAAAAAAAAGAAAGAAAGAAACCAGTAGTAACCGGGAGCTAAGTGGTAACGTGTAGTAACAGCCCCTTCTGTAATCTGTTTGGGTTTTTTGGTGTTTTTTTGTTTTGTTTTGTTTTTTGTTTTTTTTTGAGAAGACTCCACGCCCAGCACGGGGCTCGAGCTCACAACCCTGAAATCAAGCATCACGCGCTGCACGACTGAGCCGGCCAGGCGCCCCCCCCCCCCCCCCCCCCCCCCCCCCCCCCGGGGGGCCCAAACCCGGACGGCACCGCAGGCACGGCCCCCGGAGAGCTCCAGGGACGTCTGCACGGCTGGGCGGCTGGGCGGGGTTTACATACCGGGAGGCCCCCGGGGAGCCCGCCCTGCTTCACACCCCTCCTCTTCCTCTGAGCCCCGAAGTACGGACGCGTCTGTCCGCGGCTGGGCTGGTGTCTTCGCACCGCCGGCATGAACTCCGGCAGCGGGTCTGGGAAAACCCGAGAGCTGGGTGGGTTCGCGCGGCAGAGAGCGAGCGGGTCCCCGAGACGGAAGGGAAACGTGGGGCCCCCCCCCCCCCCCCCCCCCCCCCCCCCCCCCGGCCCCCCTCAGCCCGGCTTCCCTCCGATGACGCGACAGGCTTCACGGACGGGCCCACTCACGGACCTCTGAGGCCCCCGCCACCGATGTAACCTTTCCCTCGTGGGGTCGGAACAGCCGCGTGCCCACTTCCTGGCTCGGCCTCCCTGACACGTGGGACAGCTGCCCAGACTGCCAGCGTGGCCGCACCTTCGCTGGGAACGTGGGCAGCCCCATGAGGCCCCGTGCCGGCCCCACCTCCCATCCCAGTGCCGCGGGGGCCCGGTGGGTCACCTCCCCCGGGACCGCGAGCAAATGAGGCCGGAGTCACGACACAGGTACAGGAGGGCCGAGTGGAGCACCGGCCGAGTCTCCAGCTCCGGGACGGGCCACGAAAAACCAGCCGCGCGGGGCTGTCCTGTTTATTAGCTTTACGGGAACGGACAGAAACACATCAGCACAGCCGAGCGGCCTCTTACAAAGCCCGTGGAGAGAAAGATGGTCTCTGGGATGCACGTTTTCGATTTTCAACCAAATTTTTTTTTAATGAAAGCTCATTTTCAAGGGCAAGATATCACAGCAGAAGAAAATCCCCTCCTAAGAAAAGCCTGAATTGCTTACAATGATCAAACCTACGAGCTATTTGCATGACCCGGGCCCGGGCCCACGGCAGGCTCCCCTGAGACGGAGGGTGGCCACGCACGCGGAGGCCACGGGAGCTCTGCGAGGGGAGATTCCGAAGCGCTAACGGCAGGCGAAAAGCAGAGTGCCCAAACGTGGCCCTTGCCACCGAGCAAAGCGGCTTTGTGGCGACGTTCCTTCACCGGTTCCCACACGACAGGCCGTGAGAGGGACAAGCCGGCCGGCCTGATGCGCGCGCACCGGGCCGACGAGGCGGCGTGACCTTTCTCCTCGGTGCTACCCTCTCTCTCTATCACGGCGGCTGGGGGGTGGCGGAGGGGAGGACGCAGAAGGAAAGACCACTGTCGCCCCAGCGCCCCGCCCCTACGCTTCTCTCAGGCCGACCTGGGGCCTACGCGCCAGCAGGGGTGGGTCACGGGTGGCAGTCAACCGTCGGGAGGCCGGGCGCGCGCCGGCCACAGGAGCCGCACCGTGGCGTCCCTGCGCATCCCCGTCATGCACCCTTTCGTTCGGGTTCGGGCCCGGCGTCAGAGCCCCCCGGACGGTCCCAGGCCGAACGCGGTCTCTGAGTCAAACGGGTGCGCTGCTAGGTAGTCCCGGTACTCGCCGTCCAGCAGCCCGGCCGCGTTGCTCCTGGCGAACCAGCAGTCTACCTGCTCCTCCCCGTTGTAGATCCTCCTCTGCTTCCGGACCACCGGGACCTGGTGCCCTCTCACCTTCAGGACCGTCTCCGGCCCGTCGCCCGCCCTCGGGAGCGGAGGCCGGCCAGGGCCCGGGCTGAGCCCGGCGGGCTCCTGCGTGAGCGTGGCGTCCCGGCTCAGGAACTGACCTAGGAGGACACAAGAAAGTGCCGGGTGTGAGTCGAGTGCAGGCCGCCCTGGGCTGAGGAGCGTCAGGCCCGAGGAGCCCACCGGTGGCGGCCGGCCAGCGCTCGGGGTTACCCGAGGTGGGGGGCGGGGGCGGAGGAGCTCGGAGGCGGGGATCTGGCTGACCGCGGTCCGAGGTCGGAAGACTCGCACCTTCTGGTGTCAGCGACGGGGCGCGTGTTGGGAGGGTACGGACGGGGGAGGGGGGGCCCCAGGTGGCATTCAGATTGGTCCCCACCCCCCCCCTCCCCGTTAACACTGGGAGGCTGCCGGACCACTAGTACAGACGGGGAACCAGAGCTGGAAGGACAGGAGGGGGGGAAGGGCGGGGCGTGCCCTCTCCTCCGGCCACAGGCCCCTCCGGACCACGCATTCGGTGGGCAGGGGCCGAGGGTGCTGACGGCAGTCTGTTCGGTCTCCTCCGGAAACACTCGGCAGAGTACCGCAGGTCACGTGAGGGCACGGCCGAGGCCAAAGGAATCCCGGCCTGCGCCCCTGGCCGTCAGGCCGGACCCCACCCGTCCAGCTCCAGTGCCAGGAAATCCTGCTTTCTAACCAGGCCCTGGCGGCGGCTGACCCGCACTTATGGGCAGAGGGCCCACGTGGGACCTCGCGCGGAAACCAGAGGACACGGCCTGCCGCCCGGGGCGGGACGGGGGCCTCACGCCCGTGCTGGGCGCGGACTGCCCTCCGCTTGCAACTTCCCGAGTCAGGAGCCAGACCCCGAGAGGATTATCCCCCCAGGTCTCGGCCCCTTCTCCCAGGAGGCCAGTGACAATTCGTTTATGAACCCCTCCCCGTTCCAGAAAGTCGCCAGGAGGCAAAACGTGTGATTTCACGACTGCGCTTCTCACTCGAGCTAAAGGCACGGGCGGGCAACAGGAGCCTCGCTCCGGGACCCTGACGTCTACGCTCGACCCGGCGTGAGGGCGGCCGCCCACCTAACAGTCCGTGGCAGCTGCTGGACAGGCCTCTGCTGCTGGAGATGTAGAAGCCCAGGTGGTCCCGCTGGTAGGGGGCTGGCTTTTTGTAGAGGTGAATGAGGACGACGAAGGCAATGGTGCCCTGGATGGTGACGGTGACGTTGGCGTTGGCGGACACCGACACCTCCAGCCCGCGGCGCCCCACCACCGCGCTCCGGTTGCACGGGAGGACCAGCCTGTCCCCACCATCCAGGATGACTCTGCTCGGAGTGATCTCCAGATACGACCGCTCGGGCTTGTTGGCGAGGATGGTGATGGTGCGGAAGTAAGTGCGCTGCTTCTTGTGGCCGCCTGGGGGAGCCGGCGCCCCGATCAGCTCCCCGTTCACCGTCACGCCTCGGAGGCAGAGGGGAGAGGACAAGGGTCAGCGGACCAGCCCACCTTCCAGCCACCTGCACCCGAACATCTGATAGAATCTCCTCCCTCCTCTGGCCTTGACTCTGAATCTCCGGCCCCATGAAGTCGGACTCCCGGGTAGGTAGGGGCCGCTCAGTCCTACCGAGTGAGTGAGCGAACGCGTGAATGAGTGAAGGCAGGAAGGTATGAACCCACCTCCCCAATCTTTCCCGTATCTTGGGGTGGGGGCAGCAAAGCGGGGGCGTGGGTCAAGATACCACAGAAGGAGGTGTGCATGTCTGTTTGCCTTTGTCACTGGGTCTGGTTGTAGTGACGAAAGTCCTTCATGGCCCTGACGCCCATTTCCTATCCGCTAGTTTCCGCGGATCCTGATGTGGCGATCCTGTGATGCCACGGGCAGTGTGGGAGAATGTGAAGATTAACATCTTTTCTAGTCCAAAAACTCAGGTTCTGCACCTCCTAGGTGGGTATGCCTGGATAAGTCACTTTAAAAAACAGCCTCGATTATCACATCTATAAAATGGGCACGTAACACAGATCAGATCCCAGGAGGTCGCACACGCATAAGATGTCGGCTGCCGTCAAGCTGAACTCCATTCTTCTTTTCCTTCATCGTCACTAACACCACGGCGGCTTTCCTAGACTCACGTAGGCCCTACGTTTCTGCGCTGTCCCAGTGGACAGCTGACAGAAGATTCCACGTGGAGCAGCCAGGCCTGCATGAGATGCTGCCTGGTGAGGGTGTAATTGGCAAGGCTCAAAGACTTCTATCTAATGAACTCCTGTCTTGCTCTGCTTTGGGGATAACCTTCCTCTAAATCTTGGCTAGCGGCTCCTTAGACATTCCAGGAGGAAAGTGCCTTCCCTGGGACAAGGGGCAAGGGGGACAGGAGAAATCCCAGGCAGGTGCTTCAGCCTCAAGGCTCCAGGCATCACCTTCTGGTGGTTTCCCATCTCAGACACCACACTGAACACAGGAACGCCAGGAAGGTGGGTGGGTACCTCCTAGGAAGGCGGGTACCTCTGGGGAGGACACAGGCAGGCCCCTATCTCACTGCTGAGCCCGAGTGAGGACAAGCTGACATTTAGCTCGAAGGCTAGGAAACCTCGTGAGAGCACAGGGCGGGGAAGGGGCCCCGGGACCGCACATTATGTAATCACATCGCACGGTCACCCGGCCATGGGACGCTCTGTAACCTAGCCTTCCAGAAACGCATCCTCTCAGAACTGAGAAATGCCATGTAGCCAGCCCTCGGGCACTGTTAGCTGCGTGTGAGTCGAGAGCCTTTCACACACTGACCTCCTTCACCCAGCCGCTCTACAGACTGAAGGAGATCAGAGCCCTCGTTAGCTCGGCGTTCAGTGCTCACAGAGCTGTGGGCTTGGCGTCCCCGTCGCCGAGGAGGAACCGGGAGAGAGCACTGCGGGACTCCAGCCCTCCTGCTGTTCGAGTCCTCGACTGGAAAGTCACGAACTCCACAGGACCCGTTCATTTACAAAACGACTTCAGATCCATTACTGACAACAGCCTGGTGGGGCTGCCCGAGGAAGTACCACTGTCTCCGTGCTACGAGGAGCACGTGTGCCCAAGGCCACGAAAGGAGTCACGTGAGAGCAGCGCTTCCAACCCACGTCGTCGTGACACCGCGCCCCACACCCAGCCCACTGCCGTCAGTGTGTGGTATGTCCCCTTACACACACACACACCCATCGCAAGGACAGAGGGGGCTGTGATACCTACCTTAACCTTGCCCAGAGGTCACAAGGGAGGGAAGAACTTACCAGAATCCGCGTGATCAGAGACGAGCCTCAGGATGTCCCCCGGCTGCCCGTCGATGTTGAAGCAGACGGTGAGATTGCTCAGGGGGAAATCCACGACAAAATGGGGGTCTCCATCCACTGCCAGGCCGGCAAGAAACAGGACAGAGAAAGAAAGTTACCGGGTGCTTTTCGCGTATAAACAGTCCCCTCTGATTTCTCCGAAGTCAGTTAGCTAGCCTGTCCCTCATCCTCCGTGTCTGTGTGAGGAAGGGGCCAGGCGGCTGAGGCACCAGGGTTACCACGCGTGGAGTCTGTGAACTCAGGTCCCCGAAATCCAGACACGAGGCTTTCGCCACACCGCAAAGATCATTCCCTTTCTCTTTGACCTCCTGTCCCGGGAAGAGACGTGGTGACAGCCCTCCCACTCCTGTGACCACAACGCCACGGCACTGGAGACAGCGACATACACGGTCCCCGAAGGACAGTGGCAACGGCCAAGCCCGGTGCATGGCGGTGACTAGGAAGGGTGCAGGGTCACT